CATTGAACTGTAAGAATGATTAATAAATCCATATGAAACATTCCCTTAAAGTCACGTCTCGCTTTCAGTTTCGGGCCTTGGCGCGTTTTGCACTCACACTACAAACATACCGCGCCAAAGCCCAAGTGAACCGCGCTCAGGCCCACCTCTTCCAACCGGGCCAGGGCCGGCCAAGTGAACCATGCCTGAGCCCGATTCAGCTCACTCACACTTCTTAAACGATCCCAGAAACGGGCCTGGACATGTTCAGATAGCACAGTGTGAGTAGGCCCTTAGTTCCATCAGACCACAGGACATGTCTCCAAAAATTATTCTTTTTCTCAGTGTAATTTAGCAAATTGTTGATTTTCCCATGTTGTCGCACAAGGAAGCAGTGTGTTTGAGGTTTTCCTTAAATACTATTCTACAGTTGTGCTTCCAATTAACTCAAAGGTTGTCAATTAGCCAATCAGAAACTTCTAAAACCTTAACACCTTCATCTGAGCTTTTCAGAGGCGTAATAATCCTATTGTATGTAAACTTGACTTTCAGAAAAAGTTATAACAATTTCTCAAAAATCTCTCTCATTATTCTGCCTTTTAAGCAGAACTGAAACAAATTTGACAATCCTAACTTTCCTAAAAGAGAAAAAGTTTAGTCACACTAACATCTGACTTTTTTCTAATAGTTCTATGCCTTTTTATACAGTGTATGTAAACTGGTTTCAATTGTATATGCTGGAGTCAGGGAAAATAATGTTAGTCAACCTCCTGAATGTAATTCTTGTATTGCAATGGGGTAACATAAGCCAGAGCTCTGTCAGCGAATGATTCATTTGTATCTAATAAACTACTAATATTTTGACTTTGGAGAAAACCCTCTCCTGACCTTTTCTTATTGAACACGCATCGAATTAGCTTGATATTCCAACATTAACAACAATATTTTTTTGTCATTTATTAATTTGTTTCTTTTAATATTAACCTCAGCTAAGAAGAAAGTTTACAGCACAAGTCTATTCTTAGTTTAATTTTAGAGAACGCCACTCAGAGATCATCCTCCATGTTCAGTTGAGGCATGTATTTATTTTTAATGTTTCTGATTCCCATAAAGATGTCAGAAAGGTTAACCTGGTGCTATAAAATCAATCTGCTGCAGCTGGCGCTATTGCTGTGTTGTCAACCAAACGTAAACACACCAATATTATAAAAAAAAAATTAAAGGCTGATGGCTTTTTATTTGCATGTTGTTGCCTTTTTATGTAACTATTAACTACTTGTTTTATCTTCTGTAGGTTATGGATAAAATATGGTAATTCTAATAGTTTAATCAAGTTTTGGAAATTACCATGCGAGCATGACATTGTCCCCCGACCCCCACTTTGGGAAATACTGGCCTAGAGGATGGCTCAGTTTACCCACTGGCTCATATACCCCCACTCTTTTCCTACAAATGTTTGTACACATTTACATATCTCCATGCAACTTACTGCACTTCAACATTCAGTTGGCTCTTGCATGAGTCAACACTAAATGCCACCGCTCTCTATCTTGCACAATTCTCATTAAAACTCGTGGCCCAACATCATATCTTGCCAGCACTGATGACATCCATGTTGTTCTTAGACAAAATGGGGTATATGCAAATGGACTTAAAATTTCAGCCAGCCTCAGCACTTCCAGTGAATTCTCTTTCCATTATAAAATTGCCACTTTTAATGTCTGATTTCTTTACAAATTTGTGATCTTTACTTCCCACTTTATATATAATATAAAGTGGGTCTCAGACCAGACAAGAAGCACTGCATTAAATTGCATTTCCCCCAGCCATGCCTTTAAAATAAGATAGTTAATTTTACCCCAGAATTTTCCTAATATTCCCAGTATTGGAGATTCCTGGAGATCCTGACAGCACAAACGGTTATACGTTTTACGCTGGAACAACTAAATGAATGCTTAGGTCTATTTAACTGAATGTGTTGTATTTACATTACAACATGGACACTGTAATAGGATCCTTATGAAATTGAAAATAATCACATTAAGCTTTCACCGGAGGTTTATCATTGGCTGAAAAACACTTAATACTCCATTAGCTTTATTTGAAATCAATTTAACTTAATAACTAAATTGACCAAATGTCTGTAAATAAAATGCAACAAATATAATAATACAGAAGATTTATTGTTTTAGGTTAACTTTATTAGCAAAACCTTACAATATATCTGGCGTTGATAGCACGTTGCGAAGCAGTGGCGCAGTAGGTAGTGCTGTCCACTCACAGCAAGAAGGTCGCAGGGTCGAGCCTCGGCTCAGTTGGCGTTTCTGTGTGGAGTTTGCATGTTCTCCCTGCGTTCGCGTGGGTTTCCTCCAGGTGCTCCTGTTTCCCACCCAGTCCAAAGACATGCTTTACAGGTGAATTGGGTAGGCTAAATTGTCCTTAGTGTATTAGTGTGTGTGAATGTGTTTGTGGATCTTTAACAGAGATGGGTTGTGGCTGGAAGGGCATCTGCTGCGTAAAAACCTGCTGGATAAGTTAGCGGTTCATTCCGCTGTGCAACCCCGGATTAATAAAGGGACTGAGCTGACAAGAAAATAAATAAATGAATGATAGCATGTGACTACATGTTGATGTGAAAGAGCTGCTGAATAGGTTACATGCACAGCTAGTGTTTTTCAGCCAATGATAAACTTCCGGTGAAAGCTTAATGTGAATATTTCCAATTTCATAAGAATCCTTTTACAGCATCCATGTTGTAATGTAACTACAATACATTCAGATAAATAGACTTTATAGGCAGTCATTTAGTTGTTCAAGCGTAAAACGAGATGAAAGACCATGTAACCACTAGCACCGTCAGGATCAGCAGGCAAGCACAGAAACTCCATTAAAAATACTGGGGTATCTCTATTTTAAAGACATGGTGGGCTATTTCATTTCAGCTCAATTCATTTTTATTTCTTTAGCGCTTTTTATAATGTAGATTGTGTCAAATCAGCTTAACATAGAAGATTATAGTAAATTGAAATTGTGTCAGTATATTCACAAGGACCTTTAATTTTCAGCCAGGCAGCCCAAGGGCTTCCAGTGCACTGTCTTTCCATTACAAAATTGTCAGGTTTAAGATCTGATTTCTTTAAAAATCAGCGATTTTCACTGCCTGGTAGATATACGAAGTGGGTCTCAGATCGGACAAGAAGCACTGCATTAAACTCCATTTACCCCCCACCATGTCTTTAAAATATGACTGTTTATTTTACCCCGGTATTTTCAATGGAATTTCTGCGCAAGTTTGTTGCTACTGAAGGCGCTAGTGGTCTCTCATCTCGTTTTACGCTTGAACAACTAAATGAATGCTTAAGTCTTTATTACTGAATGTATTTTAGTTACATTACAACATCGATGCTGTAAAAGCAACCTTGTGAAATTTAAAATAGTCACCTTAAGTTTTCACCGGAAGTTTACCGTTGGCTTCAATACTCTAGCTGTGCATAGAGCCCATTATAATTTAATGCAGTGCTTCTTGTCCGGTCTGAGACCTACTTTATATTGTATATATAACTGGCAGTACGGATCACTGATTTGTAAAGAAATCAGATCTTAAACGTGAGTATTTTATAATGGAAAGACAGTTAATCGGAAGCGTGGAGGCTGGCAGAAATAAAAGTTTGCATTCGTGTACTCCATTTTCTTAACTGATTCAGTCAAACAGCTTCTGTTTTGAAGAACCAATTCACTGAATCTGTTGAAATGACTCTTCATTGAATTATAATTTGAAAACTGAAGCAATAATGTAAACACCTTTGATTGTAAAAAGCTACTAAGAAAACTTGAAGTTAAACGAAGGACTGTTAAGTGTGTCGTAAAGTTAAGTCTACAATTTGTCGGTAAAAGAGCTTTATCAACGCATTAAAGAGATGTAACAAATATAATGCCATGCAAACATGTTTAATCCAGATAAGTAACGTTACATGTTGTCAATTATTCAAATTATTTAGGTTAAAAACCCCTTATTTACGAGCTGAATCGCGGTTGCAAAAAAGCTTACTGAGGTAGATGACAGAGCAATTATAAAATTAAACGTTTAAAGGGTAGTTGTTGCTTCATGTTAGCTTAATTGTTTTTTCTATGCCATTGAGCATATTTTTTAAAATCTTTTTTAACATGGCGATTTTATAATGGAAAGATTTTATAAGCGGAATCGCTGAGGCTGGGCTGAAATTAAAAGTCTGTGTGCATATCGCCCTTTCTTAACTGATTCAGTCAAACTGCTTCTGCTTCAAAGAGAAGATTCACTGAATCTGTTGGAGTGACTCTTCATTTAACCGTTAATTTCAAGCATGGCCGATTCGAAAGCTGAAACCCCTCGAATGATGGATGAAAAGAAGCAATAATGTAAACACCTTTGATTCTAAATACTAAGAAAAATAAGTGAAACGAAGGACTGACAATATGTGTCTCGTAAAGTAAGTTAAATCTCACAATTAAAACGTACGGGTAAAACATTAATCAACACATGAAACGGATGTAACAGATATAACGACGCGCAAACATGTTTATTTGAGAGAAGTGACTTTACATGTACATTTAAATGTAAATTATTCAAATTATTTAGGTTATAAAACGACCAACTTAAAGTGTAGTTTGATTGCTACATGCTAGCTTTATTATTTACATTTTTAAAACACGCTACATCAGAAGCCGAAACCACATGACTGCATCGTTTGATTAATTTGTTCGTTACAAACCGAACTGTTCGAGAGAGCCGATTCATGTTTGGAAATGAACCGGACCTCATTACTTGGCGTGTAAAGCGATGTCCAATTAACTTTTACAAAACTATGCACTTTGAAACAAACAAGCTATGCCAACGTTGTTGCAACATTAAACGTGTTTATGAGGAAAAAAGCGTAATCATGCCCGAAAACGCCTTAAATGTACAGCATACATTCACTAAAAGCATAAACTTGAGACTTCTTGCTGAATAGTTTATCTCTAAATTTCCTATACAAAGTACTCACCGCTTATATATTGTCAGCTTTCAGAGTGGAGATGTGTTTTAGGCTGGAGTCGCTGTCCTCAGTGCTTTGGGAATGTGTTTGTTGTTTCTTCTGTGCCGTTGAGCATCTTTTTATTTTTTCTGCGGCTGAGCATCTGACACCGCTTTACTCATTGTTATGTAATGCCTGTGTCGTCTTGTTCCTGCAGGGGGCGCTGAGAGATCACACACACGCACAGCAGTTTACTGTTCAGGAGCCCAAAATCACACAAGATTGGCGTCTAAGATTTAGAAGTGACAGTCAGAGTGCGAAGGTCAGGTAAAACAACAGATTCATTTTTTATGAATGTGTGTATATATATATAGTCAGATTTATTAGCCCCAATTAGTTCCCAAATGATGTTTAACAGAGCAAGGATATTTTCACAGTATGTCTGATAATATTTTTTTTTCTGGAGAAAGTCTTTGTTTTATTTCAGCTAGAATAAAAGCAGTTATTAATTAAAAAAAAACATTTTAAGGTCAAAATTATTAGCTCCTTTAAGCTATGCTTTTTCGATAATCTACAGAACAAACCATTATTATACAATAACTTGCCTATTTACCCTAACCTGCCTAGTTAACCTAGTTAAGCCTTTAAATGTCACTTTAAGCTGTATAGAAGTGTCTTTAAAAATATCTAGTAAAATATTATTTACTGTCATCATGACAAATATAAAATAAATGAGTTATTAGAGATGAGTTATTAAAAACTTTATGTTTAGAAATGTATAGAAAAAAAATCTGCTCTCCGTTAAACAAAAATTGGGGAAAAAGTTAAACAGAGGGGGCGAATAATTCAGTGGGGCTAATAATTCTGACTTCAGCTGTGTATGTGTACACACACTACCAGTCAAAAGTTTGGGGTTAGTTTTTTAATGTTTTTTTTTTGTTCATTATTTAATTAAAAAATCAATTTACAAATATTTAATTAACTGCGTTTTTTGTATGCAGTTTCTTTTTTTTTTTGTCATGGAATTTTTATTCTTGCAAATAGCATTTTACATTTTATAACAATCCACAAAACAAAACAATCCCCAATTAAAACAATCAACATTTACAAATGAATAAATAAATAAATAAAATAAACAAAATAATAATAAATAAAATAAAATACAAATACAGAAAAAAAAAATTATATAAAAAAAAAAATTACAATTACAAACCATATACATACATACACATGTACCTTCACTCAATCCACATCTAAGGTTTTTAAGTGATTAAAGAATGCAATAAATTGTTGCCATTTTTCAAAAAAATGCTCTCCCCTACCTCTGATATTGTATTTAATTTTCTCAAGTTTTAAAAAGAAGACCAAATCTTTGAGCCATAATGAAATAGAGGGGGGTTGTGGGGAGGTCCAAGACAAAAGTATCCTGCGCCTAGCGAGAAGAGAGGCAAAAGCCACAATGTCAGCGTGTCTCCGGTTAAAAAGTTGACACTGAGAGGGAACACCAAAGATCGCGATTAAAGGGCAAACAGCTAACTTGACCCCCAGGATATCTGAAACAATTTTGAAGAAAGTAATCCAGTAATTTTGCAACTTGGGACAAAATACAAACATATGACTAAGGTTACAAGGTGATAGTTTACACTTATCGCACATATCAGAAACATTGGGATACATTTTAGAAAGTTTGGCCTTTGAGAGATGAGCTCTGTGTATCGTTTTAAATTGCATAAAACTAAGTCTAGCGCATGAAGTGGAGGTGCGCACATTGTCCAATACTGCACTCCAGTAGTCAACTTCAAACTCTAAGTCAAGTTCCTCTTCCCAGGCCCTGATAGCTTTAATATTATGAGAAATGTCCTTTGACAAAATAATTGCATATAATTTAGAAATAATCCCACTGGTATGAACATTCAGTTTAAATACCTCTTCCCATGGAGACTTCGTAGGCAGGGAGGGAAACTCAGAGAACAGAGAGGAAGCACAATGTCTAATCTGAAAATAACGAAATTAGTGGGAGGGGAGCAGGTTAAATATTGATGATAATTCAGAAAAATTTACAAACACATTGTTAATATAGAGATCTTCAAAGCATTTTGTATGCAGTTTCAAATGAAATTATTACTCCAGTCATTATTGCTTTTATTACTATTGCTATTAATAATCATAATAAAAATAATTATGATGATGATAATAATAATTAATGTTAGAGTGATTTCGGATGACTATAATTTAATGAATTGATCTTTTAAATCACTGGAATAGATGATTAAATTAAATTATAAGCATTATAATTAAATTATATATGCAAACAGAAAGAGTTTTTTTTATGGAAAAAAAAATATATGAAAGATATTTAGTTTATACTTAGACTTGTTATTATTACTATTATTATTATTATTATTATTAATTATTCTTATTATTGTTATTATTATTATCATCATTATTATTATTAATATTATTTATTCTTATTCTTGTTATTATTATTATCATCATTAGTATTATTATTATTATTATTTATTCTTATTATTGTTAATATTATTATCATTATTATTATTATTATTATTATTATCAATATTATCATTATTATAACAAAAAACACAATTTTTAAGTCAATTTTAAGTCAATTTTTATAATAATTTAAAACATTACACATGAGTTTTTTATTTGTTATAATAATAATAATTGTTATTATTAGTAGTAGTAGTTGTAGTAGTCAAAAATATTTTTATATTGTTAAAAAATATTTTATGTTTTTATATTTTATATTTTTATTATATTTTTATATTAAACAAATAAATTAAAAGATCCATAGTATTTTACCGTTATTATTTAAAAACATGAACATTTAAAGATTTTTGGTTATATTACTATTATTTTTATTTAAATACATCATACTTGATTTAAAAGACATTTAGCATATTTTTTCGACTGCATAGTCATTTTTTCACAGTTTATTTTTTCTTCATTTAAAATTGCAACAAAATTGCATATAGACAGAAGAAACCAATCTTTAAAGGTCCCATGAAAATGTTAAAATATTTTTTTTAGATCTATATTTCAGTCTGTTAGTTTTAAGGATACCTATAAGCTAGTGTTTTATAAATTTGCATTTCGAAAATATTAAACTGATATAAACATCTCAAGTTTGGAGTTTGTCACGTCCGCCTAAATCGATTATTGATTGTTTTTTCACATCACCTCATAATTCAAATCAAATCAGGCCTTTATTTGTCACGTATACTTTCGCATAGTGAAATTGAACCCCCATGACCATACACAAACATCACAATTTTCAGGGGAAGACAGGTCACAGGAGGTAGCATTTAGAAAGGCAAGTAGGATACATCAGGAGGGTTAGGCAAAAAACACCCTCTAACCTTGCTCTTGATTAGAGCAAAGTGAGAAAAGGAGAAAAACAGCCCAATCTAGCACATGAAAGCACACGGGCAAGACACAACATTGACAAATGGGATGGGAACAGGGGATATGGATGTAGTCCGATGAGGGCGGGCAGCCGCCTGGTCCTGCAGCCATGGAGGCGCTGGTCGCAGACCGCTTACCCCCTCCAGTGGGTGAAAGCACACGAAGGCGTTTGGATGAGGGGATCGGTGGTGATTGTTTATCTGCGGTTGTGTATGTGTGTGTGCGTGAGCCTGTAGAGTCGAACAGGTGTCCCTGACAGGTAGCAGGAATTTCAGATCTTCTCTGTATCTTGCTATCCAGGAGGAAAGAAATTCAGTTTCTCGTCAAATCTTCTGACCAATCAAATGTGCTCTAGTATCTGACATGCCCCACCCCCTTCAAGACGCATTTCCTTTTCATTTGATGCACCCTTCACTGGCAGAGCTGTGATTCAAACAAAAGCTATTGGCTGTTTTTTAAAAGGCAGGAGCTTCTTTATGTTCCGCCCTCTCTTAATTATTTTAGTTGAGATGACATTAAATGTCAAATAAAAAAAATGCACATTTCAAAGCACTTCACGGGCCCTTGATTAGCATTATGCATTGGTTATAAATGATTTAAATACCTATGGTTTTTATGTAGCTTCTATTATTTAAAAGTTTTGCATTCAATGTTTTTTGACACTTTCATTTAGTTAAAATTACATTGTTTAATTTATTAGCCTCATTTTGTTTTATTTAATTTTTTAATTATAATTAGTTGTAGTTGAGGGTAATAACATCACAGCTCTAGAGACCCACTTCTTAAAGCAAGAGCTTCCTCTGTTTGGAAAAGTGTAAACAATACCAACACAATACACGTCTAAACACAGGAAAGAGCGGCTTCTTTGAAACTCTTTGTCTGCGGTGAGCAACAATCGCTCGTGTTATTATAAAAGCTCCAGTACTCCTGAACAATTCCCGTTTGAACCTTTTCGCATTATCAACAGGCAAAGACTCTTATTCAGAATGATTGAGAAAACACAAGCTGAACAGAGAAGCAGAAAACACCATTACTTACTATACCAGCCGCCAGGAACAGCAGATCCAGTTCAGGGTATATTAACAGGTAAATCACTACTTATAAATCTCTTTTTGCCAAGACGTGAATTGCTTGATTTATTTAGAATTGCATTAGAAATATAAGGGATAGTTCAACAGAAAAATAAAAATCTGTTATCAGTAAGGTTGTATTAGTTAAATCCTAGTGACTGTCTGTGTGTGTGTGTGTGTGTGTGAGAGAGAGAGAGAGAGAGAGAGAGAGAGAGAGAGAAAGGGAGAGAGAGATCTATTTTATTTTATTGTTATAAATGAATAATATGGTATAAATGATATAATATATTGAATAATAATATGATATGTTGAATAATAACATGATATGTTGAATAATAATATATGTTGAATAATAATATGATATGTTGAATAATAATATGATGTGTTGAATAATAATGTGATATGTTGAATAATAATGTAATATGTTGAATAATAATATGATATATTGAATAATATTCAATTCAATTCAGCTTTATTTGTATAGCGCTTTTACAATGTAGATTGTGTCAAAGCAGCTTCACATAAATGGTCATAGTAACTGGATCAGGGTGGTTCAGTTTTTAGTGTTTAAGTTCAGTTCAGTTTAGCTCAGTTCAGTGTGGTTTGAAATCATTACTGAGAGTCCAAACACTGAAGAGCAAATTCATCGATGAGTAGCTTTTTTAGATCCTGAATCATGCAAGCCAGTGGCGACAATAATATAATATGCAAATAATATGATATATTGAATAATAATATGATATGTTTAATACTAATATGATATGTTGAATAATAATGTAATATATTGAAGAATAATATGATATATTAAATAATAATATGATGTTGAATAATAATATGATATATTGAATAATAATATGATGTGTTGAATAATAATATGATAGTTTGAATAATAATATGATAGTTTGAATAATAATATGATGTGTTGAATAATAATATGATGTGTTGAATAATAATGTAATATACTGAATAATAATATAACATATAACAGTCCAAACACATGCACTTTAGGTGAATTGAATAAACTTAATTGTTCATGGTGTATTTGTGTGAATGCAAAAGTGTATGAGTGTTTCCCAGTGATGGGTTGTGGCTGGAAGGGTATCCGCTTTGTAAAACATATGTTGGATAAGTTGGCAGTTCAATCCGAAGGAAATTGAATGAATGAATGAATGAATGAATGAATTCATATAGGGATGCCCAACACATATTTAACAAAGATATTTATTTTGAGATAAGACTGCGCTGTGTTTGTAGTTGTTTTAAGCTTTTTAATTTATATCATTATTATTATTATTATTATTATTATTATTATTATTTTTAATGAATATTTTGAACAAAAGTTTAAATTATGATCACATTTTATTTACTGGTCAAGCTGACACGGCATTAAATATAAGATATGATACAGTATTATAATTTCCTACAGCCTCCTTTGCTCATATTTGCAAAAGGCACCAATGGTATTAATGGAGAATATGTTTATTTTTACCTTACACATTTTAATGTACGATCAGGATTGTGTGCAATTCAGAATTTAATAAAAAATAATTATTTTAATTCATTTAATTAAATTTTTGCTACCTGAAATGTACAAATGTGAATGTAAAAATGCAACTTCATGTCTGAATATTGCAAACACCCTTATCGCTTTAACTGATTAATACGTCATAAGTGATTTATTGCTGTACAGTTATTCACCGCCCGGTCATTAACCTAATTTTACACACCTTGCCATAATACTGTACTTGTGAGCACGTGTTATTAGTTTTAACAGCATTTAATTTGTTTTCATCATTGTAGACTAGGCATGGGACCATAACTGTTTTCAAGGTAAACATTTTTTCAAAGGAAAAGTCAAGGTTTTAAAACCGCCAAAATTTTCTGCTATACCATTTCTACGGTGTATGTAAGATTTTGTTTTATCTTTTTTGTTTTGTTTTGTTTTTAAGACAACAGAATCTCTAGCAGAAAAGTTATCCAAAGAAACCGTTTTAAATTGTGAAGAAGTCTGTGTTTTAGAAAGTAATGAAGACAGCAGAAGTCAATGATTCATTTGAATTATTCAGCCTGGCATGTTTACTGCTCCAAAATATTTAAAAAGTTTCTCAAATTAAAATATATTGTGTACAAAGGGGAAAAAGTTTTTGTTTTTTGTTTTTTTTTTGTTTTAAAATAATATATTTTATAAAGCAGTAATCACAATACCATCAAACCATGATATTTTTATCTAAGATTATTATTATACATCAGAATCATTTCTGTGTGGAGTTTGCATGTTCTCCCCGGGTTCATGAGGGTTTTCTCCGAATGCTCTTTACTCTCTTCATTTGTGCGTCAAATTCACTTCATTCGCATGGCATATGCACTTCACAATGGACTTGGATTCACGTCATGGGCAGGGCTTCTGTCTGCCCAGTGACTCTAGCTTTGTTGCTAAATGGCTAACATGGATTTTATTGAGAGGTTAGCTGTGCATTATGTGCTTTAGGAAGACTAAAAAGAGCGTAGATTCGTTCAGCACCATGTCTGAGTCCACTAGATCCTTTCAGAGGTGCACCCAGCTCTTTGAGTTCATCAACTCCTCCAGAAACTGTACCTGGATGACAGAGGCGTTTAGCAATGCTTTAGACTGAAGGCTGATTTATACTTCTGCGTCAAACGTCGCTGACATCCACCTCTCAAAAAGTGTAACTACACGTCGCAACGACGCGTAGCGCAAGCTCTGTAATTGGTCGGCTTGGTAGCACTGAAGAGTATGGACGGGATCGAGAGCCGCACGAATGGCGCGACCCCAATGGAGCGATTGTTTACAAGTGTGGTGTCCCGTGAAGGAGCTCCGGATGGAAAGTTTTGTTTTGTGTTTACCTCATAGTTAAAGTTGTTGCACGTCTGCCGGTTCCTGCCTCAAAATGAGCGAGTTTAAGCCACTTGTACATCCAGGAAGTGTTCAGGAAAAGCAAAACAGCAGCGAAGAAACTCGACACAGAGGAACATTTACACCTCACTGCCAACTAGCGTTTCAGAAGTGTTAATGCAGACCAACAGAGACAGCGCGCAGAAGTATAAATGCACAGCTACATTGCATGCGCCGTGGGTTACGCCAGTCACTTGACGCAGAAGTATAAACCAGGCTTGAGCCGGGCCCAGTTTGATGAGCTGTTGTCCGGTGTCAGCAAGGGGATTTCCCCCCTTGGCACACCAACAGCAGGCGCTACGTCATAATCATGCCCCCTACAAGAGAATTCTCCTGATTGGTTAACACAATGTGAATGAAGTGCAGGTTTTCCAATGCAGAAAGTACTTAACTCATGCTGCGTTTGCGTGAATCATTATTTGCGCCACCTCAATTGCGCGAATCGCACCGCAAGATGTCTATTTCCATTTTTCCATTGACATGTAAATCACTAGCACTTGAGTCTTCATCCGCGTTTGGTGTGAACACAGCATAAGACTCCAGTCTTCAGTGTCATTTCATGCTTCAAACAAATTACTCTAATATGCTGATTTGCTATCAAGTAAATATCGAGTGCAAAATAAAGCTTTTATTTCAGCAAAATGTCAAAGAATGAACACTTAAAAATATTGTAAATGATTTTAAAATAATTAATTTTACATACAAATATTTATACATTTATTAATTTTCCTACGGCTTAGTCCCTTATTTATCAGGGGTCATCACAGCGGGTACCAACTCCTCACAATGTCTCCTCACAGCAAGAAGGTCGCTGGTTCGAGCCTCGTCTGGGTCAGTTGGCATTTCTGTTTGGAGTTTGCATGTTCTCCCTGTGTTGGCGTGTGTTTCCCCCGGGTGCTCCGGTTTTTCCCAAAGTCCAAACACATGTGGTATAGGTGAATTGGGTAAGTTAAATTGTCCAAAATGTGTGTAACTGGTAGTGTATGGATGTTTCCTAGTGATGGGCTGCAGCTGGATGGGCATCCACGGTATAAAACATATGCTGGATAAGTTGGCGGTTCATTCCGCGGTGGTGACCCCAGATTAATGAAGGGACTAAACCAAAAAGAAAATGAATGAATAATTGAAGTGCCACTGGGATCAAAACAATTCATAATATACACGTATATGTATATATTTTAAAATATATAGAATATTAAATAATAAGAAACGTACTTGTTTGTCTTTTAATTGTAGGAAAGGATTTTACTCAGACTTAAATGTGCCCTGTAATAAAGCAACAAATAATCTGGAATCTGAAGAAAAAGGTCAGGGATAGACTTTAACAGCTTTTGCCCTCTTTCCTGAACTTTTCTTGCCCTCTGGTATTGATAAATACTCAGGTGTGACTGGTAACGAGGTTTTGTCGCTATCTTTGATAAATTTTGATTAAATCCCAACAGATGAGAAAATCTTTAAGTCACTGGTTAACTTTGACCAAATAAGCATTTATTGCTTTCAGGTATTTAAAGAGAAGGACGAAATGTCTCAGGCCCTATTTACACCAATACGTTTTAGTTTAAAGCGCATGCGTTTTGCTACGGTTACACCCTTCGTCCACACTACACTGGAGTTTTCGAGAACCAAAAACCGAGCTTTTTGAAAACATTGAAGAGGCCGTTTTCATTTTTAAACGCTGCTGCTCTGGTTAGTGTGGATGGGGGAAAACGGAAGCGTGGCTGCAGACATTCGCCTATCTGACTGGGGCTTTTTCCTCAATATTAAGTAGCCTACACACAGTTCAGTCTTGCATCCTCTCCTTGTAAGTTCAAAAACAAACTCCCGAGGACACGTCGGGTAAATCTTGAAAGGGAGCTGTACTTTATAACCTCATTCACATCATCCTGGCTACGCTGTTTTACTTTGTTAATAATAAAATGAAAACCCGATTTATTGGAACTGCCTATTGTCATTTTGCAACTTAACAGACACCAAATTGTTTAGGCGTTGTGTTGCTGCATATTTAGATGATCATCATCTTCACTGTATGCATAACAAAACGGAGGCTATAACGTTACTGCCTCCTTTAATTATCATTTAAAATATGAAACACACATTGTCTC